AACTCGAAAAACTGAAGGATGCAATTGAAGATAAGCGGCCGGCATTATCAAATCGGAAGGGTGTTGTTTTCCATCATGATAACCCAAGGCCCCCGCACACATCTTTGGTTACTCGGCAAAAATGATTGGAACTGGGTTGGGATGTTTTGTCACACCCACCATAAAGCCCTGACCTTGCGCCTTCGGATTACCATTTGTTTCGTTCCATGCAAAACTCTTTAAATGGTAAAATTTGTAACAACGCGGATGATGTCGGATCACACCTAATTCAGTTTTTTAATAGCAAAGACCAGACATTTTACGAAGGGGGAATTTTTACTCTGCCAGAACGATGGAAAAAGGTCATCGACAAGAACGGCCAATATCTAATTGAATAAAGTTATATTTTTAAACAAAATTCCGAATTTGCCTTCTTATTTGAAATCGGCAATGACTTAGTTGCCAACCTAATAGATGAGCACTCGCTATCTTCATATTCGTATTCATATTCATAATCTCTACTCTCAATCTCAATCTCATCTTCTACTGCCTTCTCACTCGTATTCTGTTCTATGCTATTCTCCATCTGCTCCAACTCTTCATCCTCCTCACATAGGCTTTCGAGCGATTTAAATTCTCCCAAGGTAGAGGAGCATTCGCTCTCGGCGTCTTTGTGGGTGTCAGTGATGGTGCCTACTATACTCTCGATCTCGTCTTCGACTTCCTTCTCTTTCGCTGAAATCTCACTCATAGTCGCTTGTTTCATTCTATTTGTCGCTGCCCCTATCTCTTCATGGCCTGTACTATTTCTAGTCTCTCCTCCTGCTTCTCCTTCTTCCACACCTTCATCTACCCTCATAGGCGATTCATTTCTGACGCGCCTAAATCGAGTAAGGCGAAAGAAACGATGCGTGGTCGGTAGACAGTTGCCCATTGCTAAATTTTGGCGAAAGTGAAAATTTGTAGCGGTTTTTTTGTTTACAGCGAAAAAATCCATGGAAGTATCGATCATCGATTAGGACAATTTACTCGAGCGCAAACGTGTGTGCGTGTACGCGCGCGCGTTTATTAATCTGTTCTAATAGCATATCGCTGCCAATAGCTGAAATAGCCAAAAATGTCATTTTATTCTTTTCATTGTTCTCCTTCGTTGTCGTCGTCGTTGTCTTATTATTATTATTATTTTTTGAAAAATGACTCCTCAATGAGTGTATGTTAGTTAGAAAATAGAGGTGATTGAAAATTTAGCAGGGCCTAATGAATGTCGTGCATTGTAGAGGTGTGGTTGAGATGAAGACTACTCGAAGGAGTGGATGCATATGCTAGTGGTGCTTTGGAAAGAGATTGGCGCTGAACTCCTCCACATCAACATTGGAGGTGGCATTCTGGTGGGTGATGTTTCAACCATCGTTGGGTGCCATTGGGAAAGTGGGTGTCGCCTGGCGGAATTGTCTCACTTGTCGGAAAGTACCTTGACTGGTTGACCATCCACCAATTTCCTATGTGCAGTCAGCGCAGCTAAATGATATCATAAATACTAGAAATAAAAATGTGAAGCTCTTAAAATCCTTTTTTTCTAAAATAGGAAAGATGTAGGAGAAAGAAGAATTAGAAAAGAGAGGTTTATTGCTACCACTCTTAGATAAATAAAATAGGAGTAAAATTGTGAAGCCTCATATTAAAAATCTCAATAAGATATGAATGGAAAATATACGAATCAAAGTAGTACCACTATTAGAAAACCAACAAACAGTATACCAAAATGGGTTAAATTTTGCATATTAGCAGATCGATATGACAGTTGATGTCATGGTAGAATATAACCCATAAAGGCTTCACCCATTAAAAGTAAGTTCAAAATAAAGCCTACTTTTCAGACAAACTCCTTAGAGAAAGCAGAAAAAAATTAAAATAGATTTTTGCACCTCAAATATGTCAATAGCGTAAGCACCATGTATGAAATAAATCTTTGGATAAATTCATTACCAAAGAAAACCTGAGTCAATAATATCACACCATTTAAAATTCGTATAACCATAAATATAGAAATCATGAATAATTTAAAGATTAATTTACAGGAAGATCAAGTAGTTTGAGACGAAAACCGGTTGTAGTCAGTAAAATTACAATTCGTCAGCTTAAATAACCTATTAGTAATAAACGAAAATATACGAAGTTTATGCATAATAGAGGTCAGAAGCTAGATGAGATGTATGTAGTTCCTTTCTATTACCATCTGAGAAAAAACAAGGTATTTACCAATGCTACAGTCAAATTATGCACTAAAACTCCCTGAAAATGACCTTTGAAGAATGCTATGACTATCAGCCTCCTGCATTCACTCCGCCTTCTCAATTCACCCCAACCAACAGGAGCAGGCAAGAGACCCGCGATGGTGACCAGGAGACTGACGGCGAACGAGGGCTCTGGGCAGAATTAGCTAGTTAACCAACCAACCAACTAGACAGCTTCACTTCCTCAACTCTACTTCATGAGTGCAATGTGGGAATGGAATAGTGACAATATCCACAATCATAGTTCACACAGTGCTAATTCACACCAATTCATCGCCTACGTAACCAATGAAGTAATTAGTCCTTCCTACTACTCCCTCTTTCCTCCACGCGCACACCCTCAGTGCACTCCAAATTGCAACCAACATTCCCAATATAACCCACAGAAGTGGTAGTTGTGCAGCTACGGCTTGACTACTTCACTACGCTCGGACCAATATTTCAACAATATTTGGTTATTCTCACACCAAAATCCGATCGATTTTGCAATATTTCATCACTCCTAAGTCAGTTGCAGTAATAGTGAAGCATCTGTATTGGCGGCTTGCATTCCCCTTGGTTAATAATGCACTTATTTCATGCTCCTGACCTCCCTCTCCCCACCCCCTCAAAGGCGATTCACTCCTATCTCTCCAGTGCACATTAACCAAAATTCACCTATTCAATTTCCGCATTGTAAATGACCTTAGGATTAAGACTACCACTTATCCAATTCTGTAACTAATGAACTGCAAATTAAAATTGACACAAATATAACACATAGCAATACATTTGAAAGTCCTGTAGTCTAGTGTAGATATACAAATTCTTATTTGGCCTATGTACCGAAACAAAAAACCAATAATATATATTCACCCCTCCCATATCAAAGAAACGAAATATTAAAGAATATCAATTGATCCCAAAAACATAACAACAAAGTAATCTACTAATTAAAGAGTTAATTACTAAAAAATCACAAAACTACACTAATAACAAGGGTGTCTAATAAGAGAAAATAATACTAGCATAAATAGTCTATACCTAATAAAATAGAATATAAAATGGTGCAAAT